GTGTGTTACGTTGCACAGAAATATAAGAATATATTTGCATTGATATTAGCTAATGTAAAGAAATTGATTTAAATTGTTTACCAAGTTTTTTTTCTTTCTATTATCAATATGACGTTCCTATTGAATAACATGCAAGAAAAAATAGAATAATAAGAAACTGGATAAAAAAAAAAAGAATGAAATCACCGGCAAAGCTGAATATTTCATAAGCCGCTTTCGACTTATTACGTATCACGTTTCTATCTATCTAACTATTAAATCTATCTCTTTCGGATGCATGAAAAATATACATATTTATATACATATATATATATATATATATATATGTATACGCATACACAATGAAAAAAGAATTAGAGATTTGTCCGTGAAATGCGTATCGAGCATAAATTCTACGGAAGGTGGCCTTCGCAAGAAAATGACTCAAGAGTCTGCACCGAGATGAAACATATTGCTTATTTTTTTTTCTTTTGTTTTTTCCTTTTTATTCCTCTTATTTTTCCTTCTCTTTCCATCGTCGTTTCGTAATCAATAATTATTTCCTGTCTACGTTTTAAACAGTATCCGCGTGTATATATACATATATAATAAAAGATAACAAAAATTAGTCATAGCTAGAAGAAAAGGTAAATCATTTTTCGTATATACCGGGTATTCAAAAAGTTTGTTACGAAATTTGTATTACGTATTATTGAAATCAAATAGATGACAACAATTTATACATTATTATTATTATTATCATTTAGTCTCTTTGAATGTAGACGTTTTTTAACAAAATATTTTTTATTTTAAAAATAGTACGATTATTATTATTATTATTATTATTATTAGATGACGTTAGAAATTCGAAAGCTCATCGCATTAAATATCAAACCCCGTTAATGTTCCTGTCCCTGAACAAGATTTCTCCATTCCCAAACCATCGTATCCCATTTTGTTAAGTTCTATTTTAATATTATCTTCCTACACCTACGTCTTGGTCAACCCAATGAACTTTTCTCATTCGGTCTACCACTCAGTATTTTATATGCGGTTAGATTTTCATCCATACGCGCCACGTGACCCGCCCATCTTAATARATTCGATTTTATGACGTTATTAATATCCGAACTATTGTATAATTAACGTAATCCTACGTYGCGTGGATTTTCTCCATTTTCAGTCGGTTACCTCGTCGCGTTTTGCACCGATGATTTTTCCAACCACTTCATTTTCGAATATCCTCAATTTTGTCTCGTCATGTAACGTAAGCGACCACGATTCGTTGCCGTTAAGGAACTACCGGTTAGATAATCGTTCTGTTAATTCTAATTTTGAATACGCTTAAACAACATCCGCGAACCGAATAGTTTATTAATCGAACGTAAACACGCATTAATCAAATTAATTCTTTTCTCAAGTTCTTATCTTTATTTCATTTAGTTTGGTTTAGAATCGATTGTAAATACTTCAAATTGAAAAATGTTATCACGAATTACCGAGTTTACGTTGTTATGAATATTCTGGATTCTATCAGTGACCATTTAATTCAGGTTTTTTCAACGCTTATTTGCCAACCAAGTTTTTCTGTTTTATCTAATAGAGTTTTAGTATTAATAATTAATGTTTCTTTATTATGCCCTAGTAAAGTTATATTGTCTGTGTATGTTGATAGTTTTGTTATACCGTTCAACTGCAGATCATTTTCACTTTTGTTTGTTGGAATATTTCAATTTTAAATTAAACAGAAAAGATGACAGTGCATTCCCCTGCTTTAATGTGTTAGGAATATTAGAAAAAGTTTTTTTTGTAAAGACGTAAGCATTCATAGATTTACCGAAATAACATAAATTCGTGTTACAATTCCTTTTTATAGAATCACATACGTATTTTATAATTTTCACGATGACTCGTTTGACCTGCTAAGTCACCCGACTTGACACTTTTAAATTTCTATTTATGGCAAAATAGTTGGTTTATAAATATAAGATAAAAATAAAAAAGATGAACTTTGTTAATGTATTCAAAATCCATTTAATATTATTTCCAATACACAGTTGTGAAATATTTCAAAGAGTTCACACAATCATTAAATCGACGAATAGAATCCTGCATTTTTCTATGATAAATTAATTATCTACCAATTCTTATAACTTTCAAAAATAAATATCATAAATATCTATCGAATAAAACATTTGTTTGTTTTTCCTTAAATAAATTTCTACAAAAAATAATTTCATTTATTTCTACAACACGCATTAATACATAATATAAATATAATTGAAAATTATATGAAACACCCTATATATGTTTATACAACAATTAAATCTAATCATCTAATCGTCTAGTATAATCAACATATAAATAAAACCTAATTGGTATATGAATAATATTGTTTGAATGTTCGCAAACGTAATTATAAGTTAAACACACGTAAAAATGTTATAATGTATGTGTGTGTTATAAATATTTATAAGACAAAACAAAAAAAAGTAAAGTTAATAAGAGTTATTAGACACGAATCTAATATGATATTCTTGTGTATTACATTCCAGTCCAAATGTCGGTGGCAATAACAACGAAGTTTCTGCATTAACCGCTGGCTTTGGTGACGCATTAACCGCAGCTCTGGACGTGATGGCCTTCGCTCATGATCTTGATCTCTCTGCGGATACAACTGAGGGAATACCTGCCATCAACGTCACCGACAAACAACAAACTAAGATGCAAGCAAAAGTCCCTAATAGTTGTCAGAGTATAACGAACGTTCAAGTGGATTCCAAAACGAAACTTCCAACTTTAACCACATTTTCTGATCTTAGTAACAATTTCGTTGAGAAACCTATCGAAACAATTAACGTTCCGATTGGTAAGTTCTACATAAATATTTTATACAATTAAGTAATTATTTTTTATTATTATTATCTAATTCATAACAATGAATTTATAACATTGACAAAATTGAAATTTGCTTTAATTTTAAATTTGTGCAAATAATTATGAAAGTTGTTTGAGTTTTATTTGAGGTATTGAAAATCAGAATTGGATTCAATCTCGTTAACTGTGATTTTGAGAAACACGTTTTAGAATATTGTAATTATTTTTGTCGAATTGTTTTACAAGGGTAACACCTTGCTGGGTCTTCTGAACTCAGATTTTTGGTTCAAACTTTGCACATTTGTTGTGGTTCATGGGGTATAATATATTACAGCTTTAAAAAAATGACTTTGAAAAAATATTCTTTCAATCGTTAAATAATACAACATCTTTTTTGTTATAGAATATTTTCGTATAATTTTAAACGATAGAAATCTATTCCGGTGTCCTACTTTTGGTGAAATATGCGAATAATTTCATTTCTATCTCCCTGTGTATATGCAAATGATTTAATCATTTCTATCTCGTTTAGAATCTAAATTGTCCAAAGAAGAAGATCCATTTTTGAAACTGATCATAGCATCGGAGTTGACGAACGACGAAGAATTGCTTCCGAAATTAGCCAAAGATGTTTTAGAAGTGGCAGAAAAATCAGTTAAGATGACAAAAGAAACAACGAAATCAAAGTCACAAATTTTAGAAGGATTAGCATTGATCATGGCACCCACCAACGTCGAAAATTCTGTCCCAAAAAAACAATACTTCGTTGAATCGAGTGACAATGATCTTTGCACAAGTAAGATTATGTGAGCAGTTTATGTTGAAAGATGCATAAATCCATTTTCCAAACAAAAAAATCAAGTTAGCTAGCTTAATAGTTTCATTTCGATATGATCTTTTCATTCCGAAGCAACTTGTTACTAATAAATTTCGAATCATTCAAATAATTAGTAACACGAAAATTTGTTGGTTAATAAAGTAACGAAAAAGTTTATTTAGAAAGTGACGTAAGCCCAATCATAACCTTCAATAATATATTATTTCTTGAAATAATATTAGGATGATAAATTTGACACCTTTAAAAAACCCAAAAATATTATTCTACTATGTCAACTGTTAACAATATATTTCTAAATTTATATTCAACATATAAATCCTTCAATATCTTGATTTGAACATAAATGGATTTACGCCATTTTCAAAATAAACACAACTCATGTAAGTTTATTGATAAGAAAGATAAGTTGTTATAAAATGTATTAACATTGTGTATTTATTTAAGATGAAAAAGGGTTAGGAACGGAGTCATATCTAAGAAGAATCAGGTCAGCGAACAACAGATTTATGAAGAGTAGAAAAAAATCTGGACGGAAGCCTGGCAACGACAGTTCTTCCTCGTCCTCGTCCTCGTCTACGTCTACGTCGGCATCGATGTACGTCGACGAGAATATTATCGGTTATAGGTCTTTGCTGAATGGCCCGGAAGAGGAACCGACGAAGCGTATCCCGAACAAAGATCGCAAGAAGTCTGTCGAAACAATTAAGGACGAGGTCGAGCAAAATGGTGCTAGTTGCAATCCGTTAGAGGATAAGCCACAGAAACGACGACCGAAGACAGCTAGGAATAGGTATATCTTTTTATTTTATTTATTTTCTCTTTTATTCATTTTTATTCTTTTAATTTATATATTGATAATATGTATTTGTAATATTTTTTTAAAAGTAGAAAAAGAAATCAAGACGAAAGTCAAAATTTTTATCAAACTACAATTTGTCTTTACCAAAGGCAGCTATATTTGCTATTTATATGATTCCGCCATTTTATTCAACATGGCGTCACTTACTATCTACATAAAACATAGAAACAACGATCGAAGACAGGAAAGAATAAGTATCTCTTTTTATTTTATTTATTCTCTCTTTTATTCATTTTTATTCTTTTAATTTATATATTGATAATATATATTTATAATATTCTTTCAAAAGAAAAAAGAAATCAAGACGAAAGTAGACATTTTTATCAAACAAAACTTTGCCTACCAAAGGCAGCATATTTGTTATTTTTAAGATTCTGCCATTTTATTCAACATGGCGTCGATTACTTTTTACATAAACCATTGAAACAACGATTGAAGACAGTTAGGAATAGGTATATCTTTTTATTTTATTTATTCTCTCTTTTATTCATTTTTATTCTTTTAATTTATATATTGATAATATATATTTGTAATATTTTTTTAAAAGAAAAAAGAAATCAAGACGAAAGTCGACATTTTTATCAAACTACAATTTGTCTTTACCAAAGGCAGCTATATTTGCTATTTATATGATTCCGCCATTTTATTCAACATTGCGTCACTTACTATCTACATAAACCATAGAAACAACGATCGAAGACAGGAAAGAATAAGTATCTCTTTTTATTTTATTTATTCTCTCTTTTATTCATTTTTATTTTTTTAATTTATATATTGACAATATATATTTGTAATATTTTTTTAAAAGAAAAAAGAAATCAAGACGAAAATCGACATTTTTATCAAACAAAACTTTGCCTATCAAAGGCAGCCATATTTGTTATTTATATGATTCCGCCATTTTATTCAACATGGCGTCACTTAATTTTTACATAAACCATTGAAACAACGATTGAAGACAAATAGGAATAAGTATCTTTTCTTATTTTATTTATTCTCTCTTTTATTTATTTTTATTCTTTCAATTTATATATTGATAATATGTATTTGTAATATTTTTTTAAAAGAAAAAAGAAATCAAGACGAAAGTCGACATTTTTATCAAACAAAACTTTGCCTACCAAAGGCAGCCATATTTGTTATTTATATGATTCCGCCATTTTATTCAACATGGCGTCCCTTACTATTTACATAAACCATAGAAACAACGGTCGAAAATAGCTAGGAATAGGCTTTTATTTTTCTTTTTTTTTTTTTCCTACTTTTCTTCAAAATATGAAGAAAATCAAGACGAAAGTAGAAATTCTTCTCAAACAAAACTTTGTCCTTACCAAAGGCAGCCATATTTCTTATTTATATAATTCCGCCATTTTATTCAACATGGCGTCGCTTACCATCTCTATAGGTCATAAAAATCACGACAAAAAACAGTAAGAAATAGATACCATTCTTAATTTCTGTCTTTTCTCATTCATTCCTTTCTTCCTTCAGAATAAGAAAAATAAAAAAGAAAAAGAAAGTTATGAAAACGAAAGTCAAATTTTTGTCTTCAAACGAAAATTTGCCAAAGGCAGCCATATTAGTTATACGTATGATTCCGCCATTTTATTAAACATGGCGTAGTTTACTATCTCCATATCCATTGAAGCAAGTAAATGGATATTTTTGCTGGAAAGAATCATTTTCTCGCTCGATCTGCCAATTATCTATCGTCCTGCACGAGGAAAGTAAATATCGAGGAAAATAGAGAAGTTATATTTCTCTCTTTCTTTCTTTTCTTCTTTCTATCTCTCTCTCTCTCTCTCTCTCCCTTCTCCCTTCCTCTTATTTTATCTCCAACGACATCGTTCCTCCCCTTTTTTCCTCCTTAATACGACCTCGTCGTCTTGGTCGTTTAATTGAGCCGATTATTGCTACAAAGCATCCATATTTCATTACAGGAAATTGATTATAACGCTTGACCGAACTTACCCGATACTTTTTCGAACGATTATCTTCGTAAATTAACTGAGTAATGTTCTCTTTTTATTACCTTTTTTTATTTCTGTTCTTTTTTTATTGGAAGAAAATTTCGTCCTTTAGAACACAAGACGATACGTATATATATATATATATATATAGATATGTAAAATAGGACACCCTATATAATACGAGATATATTTTGTTTGTTCTGCGTAAATATCAATTTAATATTGCACAAAAATTATAATTATATAAATAATTAATGTAGGATATTTTATAGTAAACTTTTATCTGGAAAGTACAGACCAACTAAATTCAATAAATTTTGTTTTATGGTTAATAGGGTTTTTATTAGATTGTTCAGTTCAAGACTGTCTTCTGTTTTCTTTTTTTTTTCTTATCGTTTTAAATTGAAAGTAGTAATACGAATATTATACTGTCGATTTTCAATTATTAATATTAATTTTTAATGCAAAGCTTCAAAATTCTTCTACAGAGAAACATATTTTAAGATTATTAAATTTTTCCAAATTGATATTGATTTGATTGCATCAAAACATTACGTTAATAATGAAATTTAATTTTATATAAACGTTAAAGAAATTGGTCTCACAAAAGTATTAACATCTACGCGTTGGATATAATAAAAATACAATGATTATTTTTCTGAATTTTACTTCGATGATCTATCTTTTTTTTGCATCTTTTAATTCTTTTAAAACAATTGAACATACTTTAAGATTAATTTTCTTATCAATTATGTACAATCTTATTTCTCTTACAATACAACACTTTTTAGTAATGAAATTGATGTATCACGATAAAAGTTAAATAACATTAAAAAATGTTTCTTTTTATAATAATTTCGAAATATTGTATTACAATAAAATATTTATTGTTTTAAATTGACAGTAACAGTACGATTATTATTGTGTCTTTTTGTAGATAACTTGTATGAAATTTTCTTACGAGTTAGTCACATTTTTCTTTTACTATGAATATATTATATATACATATATACAAAAATATACATATATCTATCATTCATGATAATATTTCGAAGGAAATCAGCTTACATTGGCGTGTATTTAGTTTACTCGATAAATCAATTATCATTCGAGTAGGCTTCAATTTTAGAAAGCAGAAACTCAATACTCGAGATAATATCGACAAGTAGTTGCTATAACAAGACGAAACATTTAGAACAAACAAAATATCTAATTATTCTATAGAACATAGTATTCTTTTTTTATATTATGCATAATATTATGCAATTTAAATATAATATCTTTAAAAAAAAAAATAATTAGCTTAACACCCACGCGCGATAAAAATGAAAATCATGGAAATAATCAATTGATTCATATATACAGTGACTGTAATTTACAATTGTATACAGTTACGCTTACTAGATTTTTCCTTGAAAATTATTGTTACAGTGTCTTTAATATACAAAAAATTTAGAAATAAATACATTAGTGTACCATAATTACATATATAATGAATTTAATTTAAAAGATTTATTTATAACAAGTAAATTAAACAAATATGAAACTAATTTACAGGAAATACCCGTACCTAAAAATCTTACATGTTGGTATAACTGAAAACAAGAAAAATACGTTTATTTATGTATAACAATTAATCATTCTTAATTCTTATTATTATTAAATGTTATTATTTTAGCATACGAATCAGTTTAACATACATGAAAGTATGAATAATACAAAGTAGATTTGTTTAAAAATAACATATCTATTAATATATTTGCAACATTAAATAATTTCGATCAGACATTTTATTAGATGAAAATTTTCAATTCAAAATCATCACTGGTCAGGAACATTAAAACAAATGTATTTTAGTTTAAACAATCCAAAATATTAGTAAAATATATTAGAGTGTTTGATATACCTTAAATGATTAATAATTAATCGAAAAAAATGTATATTGTAGTCTAAAAGCACGAAGTATGAGTTCAACGTACCGTTCTCTTCGAAATCCACCGTTAGACTGTTTCATTGTTCTCAATAAAAGTTCTTTTATTGATAGTTGTTTATACGATTTTCCGAAGACTACATATGTATAACGTAAACACTATTTGGAAAGTCGTATAAACGAGAATCAATAAAAGAATTTGAACTGACTTTCGTAGAGGACAATGAGACTCAGTCTAACAGTGGATTTTGAAGGGAACGGTACGTCGAACTCATACTCCGCGTTTTTAAACAACAATATACATTTCCTTCGATTAATTAACAATCATTTAAGATATATCGAACACTCTCAAGATATGTCACACCCCCATTCATCCTTTCATAAAAAAACGCATCTCACAATAACTATCGATCGACGTATCACATCATACTAATACACATACGCATAACCCTAACCTAGAAACTTCCATAATCTCGTTTAACTGTCAATCAACTATAGACTCTATTTCACTATTTCTCTTCCATTCTGTTCATGTCGTGTCATAAAATTTTATCTTTACCATCTCTTAATAAGTTGCACTTTAAAAATAAAAAAAAGATTCATTCTAACAATAGATGAGATATAATGTGATTCACGAAAGTATTCGAATGTTTTGTTTTAAAACTCGAAATAATATAATCGTATGCAAGAAATATGTGAAAATATGCGAAACATATATATGTAACATAGAAAAATATGCCGTCTATTGTTATGTTATTCATTCGGAAAATTATATAAACAAGAAATATAGAAAAGAATTTTAATTGATTTTCATGGAGGACAATGAAGCTCCCAGTCTAACAGGGAATTTCTAAGAGAACTGTACATTCTAAATTGCAATATACATTTTCTTCGAATAATTAACAATCATTTAAAGTATGTCGAACATCATGGGTTTTATTCCACTCTCTTTTTCTCTCTTTACCTCTCTCTTCATGTCGTTTCATAAAATTTTATCGTCTAAGTAAGTTTCACTTCGAAAAGAATCTTTTGTATATTTGAAGAAGTAATATAATGTTTTTGATCAACTAAATTAATTTTGTTTTTGTATGTTTTTATAGTTTGGGATCTTAAAAATGAGTTCTGATAATTTCAACATTTAATTCATTCAAATAATTAAGATAGGATGGTTTAGCAGATACGATCCCATAGAAAATACGAATGCATGAGAAACTTTAAACACATTTTTCTCAAAACAATATTTTTCAAATCGAATCTGCATTTTTTTTAATAACTAAAATCGATTTAGAATTTTGCAAACATTAAGAACACTTGTTTTAAACCATTTTTTTGATTATATTAATATTAATATTTTTTATCATGTCGGAAAAAGTGAACATTTTTCGTAAAAATTCAAATTTACCTATTTCAAGAGCCGCCATTTTGTTCATTCCATTTTTTTTTTTTTTTTYTTAATTTTCCCCCATCAAATGACAAACACATTCGTCATGAATATAAAAAAAAACAAAACAAAAGGTTCATTTAGAATGCCAAAAAATGATCGCAATCATTACACCCGATGTTAAATATTTTTCGTAACATAACCTATTTGCAACATTCTGTTACGTGTACAATTAGCATTAAAATGCTTTGCACAAAATTTCATATGTTACTTCAGTACACGTACAAATATAACTATAAACAAGAAAAGCAATATCCGAAAATTATAAAACATTTATTTAAATTAAATTCCGAAAAAACATCACATCTCGAAAATTAATTTTTTTTACATTCCAAAATTATATTAAAATTTTGTTACGAATGTTCGTAAATGTTTTATATCAAAATGAACTTTAACTAAAATAATAAGATAAATTCAATGATAATTTGATAAGAATTAAAATGACAAAGGGGTGAATTCCTGAAAGAAAAACTGATGGCGAGTCACACTCGACATAGAAGTGCAAATGATTAAGACGTTGACCTCCTCGACCTGACCAATAATAAAAATACATAATTAAAGTAAATATCGATACTGATCAATTTTTAAATAATACTATTATTTTTATTAGAGTTTGTGTGTGTGTGTGTGTGTGTAAAGAAATTAATGTCAGGTATGACATTAATTTCTGTAGAACATTTCTGATATTCTGTAGAACATGCACAAATAATTTGATTAATACAAGGAAAATATGCATGACATGTGACTACGTTTTTTCTATACGTAATTTTGATTGACAAAATGCAATCTTCATTATTCAAACATTTCACTAAATAAACCGTTAACTTCATCCTAAAATAAATAATTAAAATATTTCACGATTTATTCCTTTATATAACACCATTTTAATTTACAACACGAGTAATCAATAAAAACTCTATTGCCAATTTTCAGTAAAATTTTCTAATTTTCCATAATGGTGAACCATAAACAGTCATTTGATCAGACAAATCAACTACTGATTTCCAACAATTCTAATTTACCATCAACATCATTTGAACACATTGAACAGTCCGAAACAATTGATAATCACAAAAATGGTCTAAACTGCCTCTGGGGGTCACCGGTGACCTCAACTCACAAAATACATAAAACAAAACTCCCATTTATTAGCTGTAACAAAAAATTCACTTTGTCGTGACAGACAAATCACGTGAAATGCAATCAGTAGTCAACGTGTTAACAAACTAATAATCCTGATTGTTACTGTTTTTTTTTTTTTAATTATATTCGCAGAGTATCACCGAAGGAGGAACCAATTGGTAAAAGAGAATCGATTGAACGAAATAAGATACCTTTTGAAACGACGACGACGACGACGACGACGACGATGGAAACGGAAACGACGACGGATCCATTGGAACCATGGAGCACGCGTGGTATTAAAGACATGAACGCCATATTGGCTTGGAAGGAAAATACACTGGACAGTCCTTAATGTAACTTTATGATACTGAGGTTGCACCTACTACAGACACCTCCTACAACCAACCAACCAACCCATCCAACTAT